CAGTGGAGAACAAAAAAGATAATCCGATTCGTGTCGTTAGGAATGAAGGTATGCAAATCGCAGTCATAGGGCACATTGCAATGGATAACACCTTAAGTACTAGGCAATTGTCCGAAGTTTCCGGCATATCACGAACAAGCGTAAGGAGAATTTTGAAGGTTCACAAATTTTACCCCTACAAGATACAATTGCTTCACGAACTTAATGAGGATGAAAATGATCGACGATTACAATTTGTAGAAGAAATGAGTGAACGGTGTGTTGGAAATCTAAATTTTCTTTATAATGTCTGCTTTTCAGATGAATGCTCCTTTTTTTTACATGGATTAGTCAATCGACATAATTGTCGATACTGGAGCGATTCAAATCCACATTTATTTAGAGAGTCTCATACTCAAAATCCTGAAAAGTTAAATGTCTGGGCAGGTATTCTAGGCAATAACATAATTGGACCATTCTTTTTACAAGGCAATTTGACTGGGGCTATGTATCTGACTTTACTTGAAGAAAATATTGTTCCTAGAATAAGGGAAGTTATTGCTGAAGATAATAACTTGTCGCAAAATGAAATGTTTTTTCAACAAGATGGAGCCCCACCGCATTATGCAGCACCCGTTCAGCAATTTTTAAATGAAAATTTTAGAGACCATTGGATTGGCCGAAGAGGACCTATTGAGTGGCCTGCAAGGTCCCCTGATCTTTCACCTCTGGACTTCTTTCTATGGGGCCATTTAAAGTCTTAAATTTATAAAACACAGCCAGCTTCTCTTCAAGTTCTACAAGAACGAATAACTGAAGAGTGTCAAAGGATAACTACCGATATGTTGCAGAATGTTAGAGAAGAGGTAGAGAATCGATTTTATTTTTGCATGAATGTTAATGGAGGACATTTTGAACAGTTTATTAAATAAATATCATGTAAATAACTTTTTATTAATAATAATAAAACTTTAAAACTTTAATTAGTAGATATTTTTATTAAGGAAGGTAAGTATTGTTTTTACTTATAATAAAACGTGATCTATTTCCAAGATTTTAACAAGCTGTCATATCCACGGGGATGCTAGCAGCGAGTTCAAATTTGGAGGGTATAATCAGGGCAAAAATACCTTCAAAATGAAGTATCACTCGACCCCCCTTTCCTATTTAAATTTTGGGGGTAACTATCACCCACGCTTAGGGGTTGAAGTTAAGGGGTTGAAAATATAAAAATAAATTGTCCCCCTCAAATCAGAAATCGACGGGTGCGAGCGTTTTTTATTATTTTTCGTAACACCTGAGATAACCGGGGTGGAAACTTTCCATTGGCCCACCCTGTATATTATTTTTGCATCAAAATTGTCAAATATATTCTTTTTTTATTAGGCTATACTTACATTAAATAAAAAAAATCGCAAGAAATATTTTATAAAAGTAGAGATAATTTCAATAATTGATAGGTGTGGACAAGATAAATCTTTTTTTTTTGTCCCATCCACACCTTTCAATTATTAAAATTATCTCTACTTTTATAAAATATTTCGTGCGTTTTTTTTTTTAATTTAAAATATAACCTAATAAAAGAATAATATTTTTGACAATTTTGATGCCAAAATATTATATAATAAAATTTATTTAATAATCTACTTTTTTATACAAATAGTTTTGTAATTCGTGCGTTTCGCGTGCTTGAAATGGTCGTTAAGCAAAATAAAATTATGTGTTAAACTAAAAAATACAAATATATTATAAGAAACAGATATTTTAAATTCACTAAATTAAAAATATCTGTTTGGCGTACAAATTAAATCTTATTTTTAATTAGGCGAATTAAAAATATGTGTTTAACAAAAAAAAAATTAAAAGAAGTAAATATTTTAAATTAAATATATTAAAAATATCAGTTTGGCATAAAAATTAGATATAATTTTAAAATATATGTATAAATAAAAAATATCACATGAACATGTTTAATATGCCAATTAAAAATATCATAGCAGATATTTAAAAGTTAGATTTAATTTTTATGCCAAACTAATTTAATGAATTTAAAATATCTGTTTCTTATATTTGTATTTTTTTCGTCAAATACATATTTTTAATTCGCTTAAGTAAAAATTGGATTTAATTTTTATGCCAATCTAATATTTTTAATCTATTGAATTTAAAATATTTGCGTCCGATGTCGCACTGACCCAGCGTGTGCGAAAAAGAACAGTGCGCGTTAGTTTGTTGTTGGAGTGGGTGTTGTCGTTTGGAATAACAGGGGTATCCAAACTCTCAATCAGTCGGAATTAAAAATATCACATTAAATTAAAAATATCTGCTTTTTTAATAAAATAAAAATAAAATCGAATTAAAAATATCTCCTATGATATTTTTAATACATTTAAAAATTTCTCCTATGATATTTCTTATTTAACGAATTAAAAATATGTTTTGAGAAAGAAAATACAAATATTAGAAGCAAATATTTTAAATTCACTAAATAAAAAATATCAGTTTGGCATAAAAATTAAACCTAATTTTAAAATATCTGCTATGATACCTATTATTAATTCGAAGAATAAAATTCTTGTGTGATATTTTTTATCTTATTGAAAATATCACTTTAGTGTTAAAACATAAAAATAATTCCTGAATAAAAAATAAAACGGCACGGTTTTAACATTTTATTGTTTTTACGTTTAAAAATCCAATTAGAACCCAATTAGATTTTTGGATTACATGAAGAAAAAAATTGTTCTTTAATTACTGTTGTTTGATTATTAAGAATAATGTATTTCATTTTCCAAAACTGTATTTATGCATTTTAAACCTGTGGTCATATTTTAATTTTGGTAATGTGGGACAAAATTGACTGATTAAAATATATGTACCATATAACAAACCTCAGGGACAGCTTTTACTTGTTTTAAGCTATAAGCTTTATATTAAGATGCAAAATTTTTCCAAAATTTATCAAACAAGCAAGACAAAAATTTCTCTGTTAAAAATAGAACTCATGAAAAATTCTTTAAAAACATTTTTAGATAGCCTTTACTTTAGGCCTAAAAGGATTTGATGTTAATTGAAAGGTTTTTTATAGAGATGGGAAAATTCCCATTTGACGAAAATTCCCGGAAACTTTCCATCGAAAATTCCAGAAATTTTCCGAAAGTTTCAAAAAAAAAATTTTTATTGCGAAAATATTTTTTTTATGCCAGGGATTTGCAAAAATATATAACACATTAACTTTTTGTCAAATTTTATTAAGAAAAAAAATTAAAAAAAATGTTTATAAGAATGTAACTGCAATACTATTTTTAGTATCTTTTACTTTGGAATATTCCTATTGTATACTGAAACCTACAAAATAAAAATAAAATGTTTACTATTAGAAATTCACTGCTAGTAAATCCTAGATATTATAATATCTAGGATTTACTAGCAGTGAATTATACGTAAAAAAATTAAAAGGGACAAAGTAACTAATATATAGGAATATTGAAAAGTAAAAGATACTAAAAATAGTATTGCAGTTCTGACTGATAAAATATGAAAGAAAACACTAGAGGCAAAATAAAATTAACATTTCTGATTAGTAGTGACTACCATTGCACATAAAAAAATAGCAAAAGTAAAAAACACAAAATAGGATTTTTTTAAAACCAAACAGGTAAATAAAAGTGTTATTGCTGTATTTTAGTTTAGTTTTTTGTGATGATACTAAATAATCCGGCTTCATTGAGGTTATGTAACATAACTTACATTATTTATACTTCTTCTTCTGCTTTAAATTAACACACATTAAATTCTTATTAAAAGTTTCTTGGCCTTGTATCATGGCCTTAACGAAAATCAGCGGTTAAACAATTGACATTTAAATTAAAAAAACAAGGAAAGTTTCCAAGGAATGTTTCCGGTAGCTTAAAAGAAACTTTCAAAATGAAAATAAATTCCCAATTGGAAACTTTCCAAAACGGAAAGTTTCCTTAAAATGGAAACTTTCCGATTCCCATCTCTAGTTTTTTATATAATTTTTGGAATAAAAATGTTAATAAATAATTATGATATACCTACCTACCTAAAATTTACTGGTAACAATTTTTATTTCATTACAATTACAATTCATTACAATTTTTTATTTCAAATTGTTTGCCTTTTGGGAATATTAATTAATTTACGCAATTGTAATAATTATGCTAGGTATACAATTTACTGGTATGTTTTAGTATTTTAAATTGTTTCCCTATTGGGGGACAATTTTATTTTATTATGCTATGGTAAAAAACTTATCTTTTTTCTTTATGTTATCCATATTGTCTTTTTGTATGGATTATTATCTTTTAAGGTTCAGTTTTACACAAAAAAAAATAAAAGAAAAGATTATTTAAAATTAAGATGTCTGGCTAATATCGTATTATGTTACTTAAAAAATATGAATTAAGTAGGTATTTTTTAATAATAATAAGTAGGTACCCATGTACCTAGTAGGATTTAATCAAAAATATTTTATTTTAAACAATGCAATTTTTTATAAAACCTTGACATTAAAATATATGTATCTTAATTTTGAGTAAGAAATGTAAGTCCAAGTAAAATAAATATGTTTATATTTCTTTCTTATCAAAATTTGTTAATTACCCTGGGTTTGAATTAACATGTAATTTAATTTAAGTAAACATACACATGTTGTAGGTATTTATTAAGAGTTAATATTTTTGGTAAAATATTTTTAGATTAAATACAAGTAAAATAAAATGACTTAGTAGCAATACCTTTTAGTACTGAAATATTTTAACAAATAAAAATGTTGAAATATACAACATATAGGTACTAGATGTATAGGTATGTATGATCTCTCCTTTACTGAAGTTAATATTGAACATGCCCTTTATCGAGTACCTTGTTACACAAAAAAGAATAAAGGGCCTCCAACAACTAAAAACTGTCGAAGCTTCATTTTAAAAGTTTATTTATTTTGTAATTTGTCAGAGTGTTAGTCAAGGTAGTACTAAAACAAAAAATGTTTCACATACCCCTTCTCCGTTGAACACTTCCTACAATATCAGTAAATCCGTCTATGGCAGTCGATTCTGGCGAGGAAAAATGTGAATCGCGTCTTGCACTATCACGTCTGTCTTTTCTATTACTACTGGGATGTAAGGCTAAAATAAGGGATTGTGAACTTGAAAAAAACTAATGTACCCTTAAAAATACCTAGCATCATATTAGGGGAATGGACACCAAGCACTGTAATTAATATATCAGCACCATATACAAATAAGGCTCCCAGAAGAAATCCCAATCCAACTGGAGCAAATGCATAATCCCCATATAATTTTGATGTTTCAGCCATTTCGATTGCAGGGGATAAAAGGGACCAAAAAGAGGCTGCTGTCATTACACCTGCTGCAAATCCAAGGCTGGCGTCAAGCAATTTTCTCTAAAAATGTATTTGTTTATTTACTTTTGTTTATGTTTGAGGTTATGTTCTAACCTGTGACCCTCTGATAACAATGACAAGTGCGGCCCCAGCTGCCGTTAAACCCCAGGTAAATAGGGTGCCTAGAAAGGCTTGCATTACTGGCCCATATCCCTGAATCATTTTGTTTTGTTTATCACAGACTAGTTAACTTTTCTATACCAATGTCAACACCTCACGCACAAACACCGACTGCCATGCAAGCGCGAATTCTTAGAAACTTCTAGTCGGTGACCCAACATCGATCCCGACTTCTCACGAGCTGGCACGAACCGCCTTATAACGTGACGTCATAATAATAATCCGGTTTTGTTCCCCGAACATACAAAATTTGTTGTCAATCTAGATAGCTTAGATGGTAGGGCGTTTGCTTTGCATGCGAGAGGTCCCGGGTTCGATACTCAGAAGTTGTCGAATTTTTTTTACTTTTTTATTTCATAAATTTGTTGTTCCTTTGTTAAAAAGTGTTTTATTTTTATCGTAACATAAATTTGCCCATTTTAGTTGGGTTTTTTGCTCAATGGGGCGGGGGGGGGGCCAATGGGGCGGGGTCGGTTGGGTTGTGTTGTTGAGTTTGGGTTGGTTTGGTTTTATTACGTAACTAACGTGCCCTTAACATGTATACAGGTACAATCTATTTTTATATTATTGTTGTGCCGTCAATTTTAAATGATAATGATGCATTGTATAATATATAATAAATTCTTTGTCCAGTCGGGATCGATGTTGGGGCACCGGCTAGAAGTTAGTCGAATTCTTAAATATTTCAAACGTGTCAACTTTTAGGACTTGCGCATTGCGTTCTGTAAAATTATGCATATTTACTCTTGGTTTAGTAGTTGGTACTAAACCAAGATATTTACCAAAGTTCTTTGATATTTACCTACCTATTTTATTATAGATTGTCTTTTCTTGGTTAAATTATAGTTAACATTTTCACTGCTCATGACGTACCTATATATCCGTCATGGGCTACGTTTGCCGGGTGCACGTGACGGAGCCATCCGTCATGGGTCCATTGTTTTCAAACGTGAAAACATCAAGGGGTAACCCACTGATTTTTAAAAATTATAAATCGCATACGAATTAACGGCTAAGAAAAAAATCTCAAGGGTAGTCATGCGCAACGCGTCCCTAAGAGAAATTACTTATTGGTAAAGATTTTTTCTTATTGTTAACGATTGATAAGGGTCGAATAATGACTATTTCCCTCGTCTTAATTTCCACCAATCACAAACAGAGACCCTTGTCTCTAACACAAACGCGCAATTTTGAATTACAAATGGTTTCTAGGTGGAAAAACTGTATGACAGCACCCAAGCAGCGTTGCCAGATGGTCAAAATGAAATTACCGTACCTTAGTAGTCCTTCGGAGGGGACTTTAAGCCCGCGGTCCGTTCCTACCCCTAACCCGCACAAGCCATTCAGTTGGCTTATGGGACTTCTTAAGAAGTAAGGGTGGAACTAAAAGAGCACTTTTGTATATAAACTTTTGCTTGGTAAAAATTACCGTATTTAAGAAAAAATTACCGTACATGAAAAATTAACATAAAATATTTAATTTATAAAAGCAACAAAACAATTTCAACAAAATTAAAAAATATTTTTTATTGAAAACTCAAAATAAATAAAAATTAATTTAAATAAAAAACATTTACAAAACAACTCAAATAATAAAATAATAATTATAATAATACAAGTACCTATACTTTAAAAATGTTAATACCTATATATAGGTATTAATAATTAATAATAATAATAATAATAATAATAATAATAAACTTTATTAGCCCAACAGGGTTTCCCCCAATTACAGGACAAAATACATCGTAAGTAAATATTCCAAAATTTACATTGTATATATATACAAATTTATACACAAATAAATGACTATTTAAATATATCGCATATATTGGAGTTTTTGCATATCACGTTGATTGGAGCTCGATTCATCAAATTTGTTCTTGAAGTTGGAAGTTTAAACGTATTGAATGATCTTGAGTTAATTCTAGGTACCTACGTTGATGTTTAATTTGGACATAAGATATGGACAATCGATTTGGTTGTGTAGAAGTTTTCTAAGAAAGTTGGTATTCTGTATTTGGCGTCTTGTTTTTAAATCTTTTATGTTTAGATGAAGAGATAGATCGTCCAAACAAGCACCTTTATCAGGGTATGTTCCATATAATCTAAACGACATATATTTTAGGAATCTGCGTTGTATACATGGGCGCCGGAAGTTATTTATAATCAAGTTGTACTGTAGAAGTTCACATTAAACTTAAGTCAAATAAAATATCATCTTTATATGTAGGTATATTTACCTATTTATTTATATTGGTACATATTGCAAAAAATACATCACAGTTTTTTGGTAAATATATAAATATAAAAAAATTGTATCGCCGAGGAATCTCCTCTAGTAGTACTGCCGTCTTATGTATGAGACATTCTTTTACAAATCGTACACCTATTTTGACTTCAGGGTTTGGATTCGAATGAAAATTTTTTTACCGCTTCTATTCAGTAAATAAGCAGATACGTGTATCAGGTTTTCTGTAAAAAAATTGTTTTTTCAGAGATATGTTGATATAAAGTTTTTATGAATTGCGATAAACCCAACTAGCATTTATGGTGGCAGATACGTAACTGCTACTATCAAAGCCACTACAAAGGGGGCGGTGACCATCGGCGGCTACGTTGTATATTCGATGCGATTTTAACGCCTTTGGTAGGTAAATTTTAAAACGCAATCGACTTTACTGAATAAAATATTGGGTTTATATGACAACAATTTCGAGCGCCTCTCAAAACATTTCAAATTATTATATTATTTGAAATAGAAACTCATGTATTAATTAAAAAAAAAAATAATTTTCTTGAAACTGCCGTGAAACTTTAAAATATTAGTCCACCGTCAAAAATAACAAAGTAACTAAAGAAAAAAGCTTTAGTTTAGGTATATTTAGCTTGAAAACGTAAAATGTTTGAGCCATTTGGCTGTTCGTCTGAAAAGTCATGAAAAAAATATGGCCGTTTAATCCAATAAATACTTTATGGTTCCATATGCTTCCACAAAGTACCGGGAACAATAATATATTAGGCCAACCCTACCCGTTTGGAACTTTAAAATCTTCGGCTTGATAAAGTGACAATTGTAACTACCCAGAGGCGACTTTATGGAAACAATAACTTTTTTGGAACTACATGGTCCACGATTTTTTGGAACTATAAAGTGATTTTCCAAGAAAGTTCCCTGCGCCACTAAATTGCCCCTTAATTGGAGCGTTTATACTACACCGATCGCGGCGTGCCACTATAACGTTTCGCCTTGTCCTTTGAAGTTCCCGTTTGGCGACGCGACGATCGTATTTTTTGGAAAATGCAAAGTGAATATATTATTATACCTAATGTTTTACTGGTCATTGCAATTATTATGGTCACATGACAATTATTTATTTATTTTCAAGAAAAATTAATTATTATAAACAGGACCCACACCGTATATGACGTCACTTCCGTCTCGTGTCGTTTTTTCTAGGATTATTAATTACCCTCTTGAATCTCTTCCACTTAATCTTTAAATTTGAATCCTCGACTCATTTGACATTTAAGGCATTTCAGTATAGTCCATAAAGTATAGTATAGTCAACAAAAGAAATATTTAAATGTTAACCGCTTATGTTTAAAAAATAATAAATCTTTATAATATCAAAATATTTTTAACAAATTTATTAAACAAAAACAGGGCCCACACCGTATATGACGTCACTTTCTTCTATTGTCGTTCTATGTTTATTAATTACTATCTATCTTAAAACGTTCTCTTCCACTTCTTCGAATTTGAATCCACGACTTAAGTATACTCTATAGAGAGCATACAATATTCATTTTTACATAGCCCAAATACCTACACGTAAGGCAGAATAAATAGCATTCATCAGCACAAGATTTGAACGCTTGACTCACGTGTAGAAATGAAAACATACATCAACTGACTGCAAATACTTAAGGAAAGTATTAAGAAACTTGACCCATTGAGAATATTCTGCACCTTGAATTTCCTATACATCACAAAATATTCAAAGACTATGAAGGTGAAAACGTTTACGTAAGATAGAATAAATAATTTTCATCAGCACCTCGATCAGCACGAGATTTGAACACTTGAAGGTATAGAAATCAGAGAGGTATTGAGAAACTTGAAGAGTGTTCAGCACCTTGAATTACCTATACCGGGTTTCTATTCATCACAAAATATTCAATGACTATGAATGTAAAAACATCTACAAAGTATAAGAGCAGCAAAGTATTCGAACACATAATCTGCGAATATAAAAGGTCAAATCTTGAATAGAACCATATTCAGGTCCATTAAACTTGAATGCGGACAATATTTTAGTTCTCCTCTGAGATTCAGTTTCAGACGCACTAGAATTACACTCATCTACAGAAACAGCTTCAAAATTGCCACAGTCACTACCTGATTTATGATGTTCATCAGTAGGATTATAGAAAGAAGTAGTTTTTGTTTTTGACGTTGATGCTTCGGCTCGCAGTAATTCCTTTTGTTTAATTATTGATAGAAAGTACTAGAATATCTTAATTTCTTTTTATTTACTTTAGGCATTTTACAGAATTTTAATAAAGCTTAAAAGCAAGTAAAGGAAAACACCAAAACAGCAGCACACTATGCAATATGCAATCTGAGGCAATTACATTTATTAGGGTATATTAAGTTATGGTCACTATAAAGTAGCCATTTTTGATCCCCGCGACTTTTTAGTGGCAATGGATAAACGCCGGCTACTTTATAGTGTCCTAGGAAGGTAGCAGTAACCATTTTGCTACTTTCAATGCTACTATAAATTATAAGAAACCAGGTGTCGTGGCCGCGACTACCCCGTAACTTAAATTGTTACTATAAAGTAACAAAAACTTAATGGTGGCATTATGGTAGCACTTGTTAGTGACTGATACTTTAAAAAGTTACTATAAAGTTTTTGGTCTTTTATGGTGTCACTATCGAAATATACTTCAAAGTGACTATTCCTTATAGAGTAACATTTTAAGTGGCAGGGTGGGTCTAGGAACTATACTTTAGGGGCAGTGACATTTAAAAAGGACTGGGAACTATATTTGCTAATTGGGAAACGATGAATTCTCTTCTACATAAAACCCATTATCTCCGGTTCTACTGATCGGATCGATTTTGTTTTTTTTTTGTTTTAAACCCTATTGAATAGGCTTTTCAAATAAATAAATTA